GACACACTAGGGCTGACCCACCGGCCTCCCTTAGAATGGTCCGTGTCTGTATGAATTGTATTGTATTCTATGGCGTTGAGATATCGTACACGCACTTTTACCATTTACTCAATTCTTATTTATCTCGTTTTTATTGCCATGTTATTTCTTTATACACCCTTAACAGATGATTATTAGATTATCCATCCTGAAGATTTTGTAACTTGGCCCTAGTTTGTTTCCTTTGGCAATCAAGGATGCAAGTTAGATTCAATCAAATACTACTAATTATTCTTTGTCTAGATAATTACTATTTCCACTTATCTCTACAATGATGTGAATTTAAGTATGATAACATTAAAATATTATATTATTAGTGTGTATGAATTCTTTAATTATCTAATAATACCAAATTTCACTCTCAAAAAACACTATACATGTTAGTCTCTGATGAAGTAAAGAAGAATTTGATCATAATCATCAATACAATGGATCCCCGGCGGGATTCATTTAGAAGCAAAAAAAAAGTGAGCTCCATGATTGAACCAAAAGAAGAAAAAAAAAAAAAAAAAAAAAAGAAACTGTGAGCTCCATGATTGGATGAATTAGAAACCCCTAGCTAATATATAGGGTATTTAAGATGCTAAGCCTGAAACTTAAGGACCCTAGCTAGCTATAATTTATATGTGCTGATAATCATCCATGTATTTTCTATATTTAAACACAAACTCTCAGACAATCAATCAAACCAGAAACTGAAAAAGAAAAAAAAAATCTCATGTACAAGCATTAATTTCCCAGGAAGGACAGCTAACAAGAACACGTAGAGACGGAGTTTGACCTTGACAAAGAAGAAGAAGAAGAATTCAAGAACTCGATGCAGTCCTCTATAGCTTCTGCTCGATGAGAGTCGATGGATTCAGCTAGTGATCTCGACCTTGCTAAGTTGGAAGAAGAAACTTTACGTGAACTCCTGTTTATGGAAACAAAGCGTAGTGCTCTCACCATTTTAGCACCTAGGCGTCTCAGCAATGTTTGTGGTGAGAATCTTGAAGTTCTTGGTAGACTGAAACTGAAAATGGCAACGATGACTCTCTTTCTTCTTCGTCCAGTATGACTGCCTCCATGTTTGAGCTTATCGCTGATGTCTGGGCTAAAACTGACTCGCTTGCTTGCTTTTCTTGACATTGTAATGTTGATAGAGAGGAAAGGAAGTGGATGAGGGAGAAGGAGGAAGAGGAAGAAGGGAAATGATGAGAGAGGTTGCAGAGAAGTATTTATTGGGTGTAGAAGTGAAGGGGAAAGGGGTAAAAATGAGAATTTCACAGAGGTAAAAGAAAGAAAGAGAGAGGATTTGGGTTGTGATTTTGAAATGGGGATTAATAGAGACTGTTTATGAACATATGCATTGTTCAAAAGAAGTTGACTGTATTAACCCAATTATTCACGCACGCACCCCTACACAGTTTCTTTTTGCCAGAACATTCAAATACGTGCATGAGCCATGCACATGGGCTACATGGCCTAATATATATGTGCTAAAATTGTATTAATTATTACTATACATATCAATAATGAAGCCATAACATAAGATCATGTGATTCGCCATTAGATATAACTAACTGTATAGTATATATGGGTTTTTTTCTATTATAATAATTATTTCAAATTCCACTTGATCATTTCAATTAATTATATGCCTTTCTTTTTGTCACAAAGATCCCCTTTTTCTTCTCTTTTCTTCAATTTATCATCATTAGTAGCATGAGCATAGACCCCAGAGTCATCCATCCCCCACGGCCATATCTAATGGCGTTTGGTGTGATGTCAAAAATGATATATGAATGAAATAATATTGATATATATATATATATATAGAGAGAGAGAGAGAGAGAGAGATCAAGCTCACGAGAGTTTGTATATAATACCAAGAATTGGTGCCAATAAATGTCTAATCAAGCTTTTGTCGAGCGATTAATATAATGTTTGGCATGCATATTTACAATGTTGGATAAGCAAATTGAAAAGCCTGGGCTAGCCTATCGATCTATATTCATGAGAAGCTTTATGACCTTTTCAAGAGGCTAGCTGGCTGCAATGGGTGCCAAATAATCAATCATATATGTATGTGAATTAATATATATAGTAGGTAGTAATTGTTGGATTTGTTTCCACATAGGAAAAGTGGAAAAGGGATATTTGCGGTGAAAAAAATGGGATTTGCAGGTGTCTTGGTCAAAAGTAAAGAGGAGAAGTGGAGCCATTAAAAAAATAAAAAAGAAAAAACAAGTGAAAAAGGTATGGGGTTAAAATGAAGAAGAAGAAGAGACAAGCACTCGAGAGTATTCATGTCAGCGTTTCTTTTGAGGTACTATCAAAGGGCCTACTCCATGTTTCCTTTTGTTCAGCATCTTGATTCTCTCTTCTCCTCTCCCATGGCCCTCCATCATTTCATTCACCCAACATGTGAGAAAGAGAGAGAAATATAAGAGGGAATCTATTTGAATGTTACATATATATATATATACACACACACACACACACATGTTTAAATTAATTAATAATATTGGATGTACGTACAAACCCATCAAATTTCTTTCTTTTTTTCTCTCAAAAAACCAAAGAAATTGATCTTGAAATAATGTGTAGATATGCAAACATGTGTTTGTTTTTTGACTGGGAGCAGCAGAAGCAAAAGTGAGCAGTTTTTTGTGCCTCTCAAGGAATGCAATTGAGAATTCATGTCACACCTTTTGAATTGTCTTGTGTATTCCACATGCTACTCAATTACAACTCTTTATATCTTTTTCTTTCTTCTTTTAGGGTTTTTCCTCTTTCTCTTTATATTTCTCTTTTCTTTCTTTTTTTTCTTTCAACTACATTTTTATCATATCTTCTCTCTCTGTATTAAAGCATTAAGAAATTCAAATGTGAAATTTTTGGCCGACGATTATCCAATTCAATCACTAACAAACCAAGAATATTTAATAATAAGAAAATTGTAATGACCAGATGAGATGAGGGTTTGGGTTGAGAGACAAAAACCCTCCTTGGGCCACACAGTTGTCTCCATTACAAATGGGCATTTATTTCGATTAGGTGGATAACCATTGAAGCATTTATCACTGAGACAACATTTTCAAAGCAATTAAAATCATTGGCCGATCAAAATCCGTGGTCTTTCTAATCAAAATATTCTCAACCTTTCATTTCTACCCAATTTTGGGGGATAAAGTTCGGATGATTTCATGAGTCCACATTTCTAAATTTCGTGAGATTGAGAGTCTATCTTTTTATTTGGAATCTTAAATTTTGTGAGATAGAAACTAAAATAATCTGTAGGGTTTACCAATTTGATGGATTTTCAAGCATCATTCTGATTATAAATGTTAGTTTATATATATATTTTTAATAATAAATCTAGTGTTCTTATTGGAGGAATAGTTTTTGGATTCTTGGATCCTTGAAGAGAACTTCTAAGACTAGGATTGAGAAATCATGAGTCTAGATTTCTAAATTTAGTGAGATGTGAGTTTAATATAAATTTCTTCTTATTTGGAGTCTTAAATTTGATGAAATAGAAACTAAATAATCGATTTGGTCTACCAATTTGATGGATTTTCAAGCATCATTCTGATTATAAAAGCTAGTTCATGTATATCGGATTTAGGTTTCTTATTAGAGGAATAATTTATGGGTTCCTAGTTTTTCGCAAAAAATATTTAAAACTACTAGAACTAAAATGAAAACTATAAGTTGTTGATACATATTATTTAATTAGAAAAATATGTTGAAATTTTCAACAATAATATCACACTTTTATTTGACAAAAATGAAATACAATTACAAATCGATACATGAGTTATATATAGACAATTAGAACCATCTATTAATTTTCCATTATTGTTATGCCATTTAATTATCTTTTCTCTCATTTATTTTATTTAATTGTAATTTAATTTACTTTTTTTTATTCTGGCTTTTAACTTTTTCATTGTAACACCCAAATTTATTTTAATATAATTTGAATTAAATTGTGGATATAATTTTGTAGTTTTTTTTTAATTTAATGTAAAAATATAGTAAAATTGATGGATAATTAAATTGAAAATAATTTTGAAAAAAATAGATGAAAATTTTGGTTATGGGAGTTGAAAAAAAAATCAAAAAGCGAATGTTAAAATGCAATTTAAATAAAATTTGTCACGTTAGACTCCCGTTCAGCAGCCCCGACCAACCAGGGCGCACCAAGTGGTAGAGACACTAATGCGGGAGGCAACACGGGAGGCCACATAGGCGATCCGCGTGCCTGTGATTGAACGGCTGAGGACCGTTCCTGTGCACATATGCCCTAGATGCACTCCTTCCCAAACGCGATCGAACGGCCAGATTCAAACGCGATCGAACAACTCATAGTGAATCGTGATGGACGGCCCATATTAGATCGCGATGAACGGTTCAGATTCACTCTTATTTAATCGCGATCGAACGGTACAGATCAAACGCAATGAACGGCCCAGATCAAAAGCGGATAAAAATAAATAACTCCCATCTGCACCAAACCCTAACCTTAGCTGCCATAACTCCTCGCAAGAGAAGACGACCCAGCCACCGGGGAGCCGACTACTGCCACCCGCCGCCGCGCCGAAACCCTTTCCAACCGTCAAAAAAGGTAAAACTTTCTATTTTGTACGAAATTCAATTTTAAGTTCACCCATGGCCAAATCGGAGTAAAAAAATAGGCCAATTGACTGAAAAATACCTACAAAGCCCGACGGTGCTGCCGCGGGAAATTTCACAAAACACATTCGATGAGGCCCTTTCCGATTCTCGTTTGGCGTAATTTTTCTACCGTTATGATCACCATTCTTTTCTCCACAGGTTGACTGGAGCAAAACACCCGACCGCAACATGAGCCGGAGGAGCCGCCGCCGGTGAGTTTCGATTTTCTGTATTTTTTTGGCCAATTGAGACTTCTAAGTGTGTTTTCTTGTAGGGATTGATGCAAACTCGTCTGAATTCGACCGAAAATAGCCAACCTGAGGTGGACCGCCGACGTAGGCGGTGGCACTGTTGCCGGAGGACTACGGAGCCGTCGTAACAGATTTTCGAAATTAGCCGAGTGGACCTGAAACTGATTTTGGGTTTATTTAGAATATTTGTAGGTACTATTAGCGCGTTTCAGTTCCTGGAGAAAAATTTAAGAAACGCCCGTAGATGCAGTAAACAGTTTAACTTTTCGAACATCAAATCGAGTAAGGATCCCTCACCTTATTCTCTATCATAGAACTGAAGTTTAAATAAATAATAATGTAGTATTTTGTGCGATTTTAGTAAACATGCATAATTAATTACGGATTGCTAATGGAGCCGGAACCGAAAATTATATACTGTTGTTTGTTGATTGATTTTATAGTTATATGCATGATGGTATCTAATTTATTTTATGGTCTTGAATGCATGTATGGTATAATTGATGTGTTTACTGTTGAATCGAGAAAAAGAGAATGTTAAACGATAAATAAATTTTGTGATTAAATGAATAGTTGAAACGACAGCCTTACTGGATATCCTGAGAGATGGTGGATGGACCGGGTACATAGGGAACCTTATCATGTACGTTGTCTCATATCGGACGGGATATGTAGACTTGATAATTTGGTGCCTATACCAGACAGGGTATGGAGACGACCCTGTAATTGAGATTGTTAAAGAAAAGAGATTCACGTGTAGTGGAGATATCCCTATAAACCCCAATGGATAATAGTAGACTGGTGAAAAAAGAAATAGTTATGGTTTAGTTTATTGTAAATGGATATAGATTTATAATATGTTCTATATTGCTGATTGTTCATGAAATTATTATCTATATACTATTATTATTTTTATATATTGTTTTCATAAATTCTACTATGGTAAGTGAACGAGAAATGATTTTATAATTGATAAATGAATTTACTAAATTTAATGATCCATTAATGGTTTTCAATTTTATATCAACCTTTACTTCTGTACCGGTGATATAATGTGATATTCTTATTAGGTTAATGTAGCTCATCCTTTATTTAACTATTTCAGATCAAGAAGATCAGGTTTTAGAACCCGATATACAAGAAGATTGCGAGTAGATGCTAGATATTTTTTATTTTCTATTTATTTCCTTATTTCTCGTGTTTCTTTTAAAGAATTAATTCTGTAATGTTGTTCAGTACTTTTAAGTTATTGTGTAAAATTGGCACTGCCTCCAGAACTTTCTAAGGTCCAT